AAGAAAAAAGAGTCGGCAGTGGAGTGTGCCCACTTCTAGCCTTCCAAACTGTGAGAGTAGATTTGTGTTTGTCAAAGCCATCCATTTGTGGAATTTCTATTCTAACAGCACTAGAGAAGTAAGACAGTCATCCCCCAAATGACAGAGCAGAAGGATCCCTTAGAGTTTTCTTAGCTGTAAGACTGATGTGGCGCTGCAGGTTAATGCGCTGGAAAGCAAGGTTGGTTTGAGCTGCAAGGTCAGTGGTTCAAGCTCACCAGTCACTCCTCAGAAACTCTATGCAGTTGGAACCGAGTTGATGGCACTAAACATCTTTTCATTTTTATTTTGTTCTTCTTGAGAATGTTCTGTTCCAACTCATAGCTGCTCTGAATAGGATTTCTGAGAAGTGGCTGGTGGATTTGAACTGCCAACCTTGTGGTTAGTAATCCAGTGCTTATCCTGCGGGTTAATGAGCTGGACTGCAATATCAGTTTGAGCTGCAAGGTTCAAACCCACCAGCTGCTCTTCAGAAATGCTATACAGGGTCACTGTGAGTCAGAACGGACTCAAAGGCACTTCACCACCACAACAAATCTTGACAGGAGCCACATCTTTCTCCTGAGGAACTGCTGGTAGGTTTGAATTACCAATCTTGCAATGAGCACTCCAGTGCTTATCCTACAGGACCACCAGGGATCGACGGCATTCAAAGAGCACAATAATCAAGGCACACACTGGCAGTAATCTTCAGGGCAGCACCTTTCCTCTGTGACATGGTCTTCAAACTGTTGTTGGTGTTGTTAGGTGCCATTGAGTCAGTACCGACTCATAGTGACCCTGTGCACAACAGAACGAAATACTGCCCGAGATCCTGGGCCCACTTCACTATTGTTGCCACGCTTGAGCCCATTGATGCTGCCAATTTGCCAATCCATCTCGCTGGGGGTCTTCCTCTTTTTCTCTGACCCTCCACCTTACCAAACATGATGTCCTTCTCCAGTGGCTGGTCCCTCTTGACAATATGTCTGAGGTATGAGAGACGAAGTTTGGCCATCCTGGCCTCCAGGGGGCGCTCTAGCTGCACTTCTTCTAACACAGATCTGTTGGTTCTATTGGCAGCCCATGGCACTTTCAATATTCTCCTCCTCCAACACTTTAAACTATGTTGCTGTTAAGTGCTATCGAGTCGGTTCCGACCCATAGAGACCCTGTACAGGGTTTCCGAGGGTGTAAATCTTTAAGGGAGTGGAAAGCCTCATCTTTTTCCCGCGGAGTGTCTGGTAGTTTCGAACCGCTGACCTTAAGGTTCGCAGCCCGATTCGTAACCACTACGCTACCAGAGCTCCTTACTTCAAGTTAGAGCAGCAGTCAAATACCTAGAGCATCCCTCTTCCTTCAGGAATATCCAGTGGGACATTGGAAAATGATATGAGACAAGGGTCGATGCTCTGTCTCGGAGGGCTGCCCTACATATTGGAAATCACGCCGATCCAATAACCAAGAGCACCGACCAGTTATTACCACAACTTCAATCATCCCATACACCCCTAGAGTGTTCCTTGGGGACTCGGAGGGCTCTTTGTGAACCATTTTGGGGTTCAGTTGTTAAAAGTACAGGACAGACTACAAACAAAAAGCCAGGTACTGGCCTTCTGTACCTCAGGTGACTGACCCCACTCATCCTTGCTTGGTGGGTTGTGTGAAAGGTCTGCTGCCAAGGAATTCACACTTGGCATGTATGACCCCCTACCTGAATTCTCTGGGAAATCCTGCAATCTTACTGGTCCCTTAATTGATCTTTGCAGAAGCAGCGACTGGCTGAAGGAAGCTTGTGGCCCAACCAGAATTAAATCCAGCCCTGCCTCCTCATCCCATTGCCACTCAGAGTCTCTCATGACCCCTGCTATTGAGTGCTGTCAACTCAATTCAGCTCATACTGACAATGTGTGATACAGTCCTGGCGTGGCACCTTAGGATAAACAGTGTTGGTTTGAACAGCAAGGCTGGCAGTTCAAACTCACCATCTGTTCCTCAGAAATCCTATACGGCACCTTAGGATAAACAGTGTTGGTTTGAACAGCAAGGCTGGCAGTTCAAACTCACTATCTGTTCCTCAGAAATTCTATACGGGGTCACTCTGAGTCAGAGCTGACTCAGACGGCACTTAACTGCCCCATAGGGTTTTCTAGGCTTTCATCTTTATGGGATGGACTCCTGGTGGCGTTTTGGCATAAGCATTGGGTTGCTAACCACAAGGTTGGCAATTCCTACCCACCAGCTGCTCTTCGGGAGAAAGATGAGGCTATCTGCTCCCATAAAGATTTAGTCTTAGAAACCCTAAGAAACCGTTCTATCCTGGCCTATAGGGTCACTATAGTCAGAATCGACTGTGCGCAGAGGGCTGAGTTTGTTTTCTGGGGAATCTTTACAAAAGCAGCTCGTCCGGCCTTTTCTTCTGTGGAGCAGCTGGTGTGTTTGAATATTCAACGATTTGGTTAGCCTCTGAGAGCTTAATTTGAATCTGGGAGCCTTTCCCCAGATTCAAATAGGAGACGCAGAGTCAAAGGGTAGCCCCCAGTTCACATTCGGAGGAAGTAGCTGGGGTTTGAACCCCGGCTTCTCTCTGCAGAGCCTGTTTCCAGGTGCACACACCTAAGGCGTGTGAGGGCCAAGCAGCTGGAATGAGACAAGAAAAAGATTTATTTCAAGATGAAATAATTTAAGTTTTATTACCACCCAACAGATTGAGTGGTGCATATATATGATTCATAAATAATTATATACATATTGAGGGGTACATGCCCAATGAGAATTTACTCTTAGGTGCAGGATTTAAAAAAAGACTCCACTGCTTTTATTATTTGAGCCCCCCCCCAAAGCCCCTCTTATTATTATCACTTGGTGGTGGTGGTTACTGACTATCGAGTTGATTTCGACTCACGGTGACCCCACCTGATAAAGTAGAACTGCCCCACAGGTCCGGTGGCTCTGTAGGATACGCACTGGACTTCAACCCACAAGGTTGGCGATTTGAGTCCACCAGTTGCTCCTTGCAAGAAAGATGAGGCTTTTTGTTCTGGCAAAAATCTAAAGCCCCAGAAATCTTATAGAGTCAGAACCGACTCAACAGCACTTAACAACAATCTTTACTGGACCGTATCCGTTTCTGGGTGAGTTTAAACCTCCAACCTTTTGGTTAGCAACTGAGTGCTTAACCTCTGTGCCACCAGAGCACGTTTACCATTACTACAAAGGGGCATAAAACAGTGGTCAAATCCAGCTGCCAACTCAACTCCAACTCTTGGCGACCCCAAATATGTCAGAGGAGAACTGTGCTCCAAAGGGTCTTCAATGGCTGATTTTTTCAGAAGCAGATGGCCAGGCCTTTCTTGTGAGGTACCTCTGGAACTGCCAACTTTTCAGTTTGGGCCTGAGCATGTTAATCGTTTGCACCATTTGGGGACTCCACAGAGGGGCTCAGTGGGCAAGCTAATGTAGGCTCCAGAGTCTGACAGCCTGGGCTCAGATCCCTGCTCTGCTGCTTCCAAAACTCTCTGATCTTGAACCAGTAACTGTAGCATTCTGGCCTCAGCTTCCTCATCTATAAAATGGGAATAATAGCAGCTTTCACCTGGGAAACATGAGGGAAGGGATAAAGCAGTGAATCAATGCAGAGTGGTGCGAGCAAGCCTGTTCACAGGAAGTGCTAAGTATGGTGGTGGTGGTGATGTGCCGTGGAGTCAGTTCTGATTCATAGCGACCCTGTACAGGGTTTCCTAGGCTGTAAATCTTTATGGGAGCAGAAAGCCTCATCTTTCTCCCATGGACCAGCTGGTAGTTTCGAACTGCAACCTTGAGGTTAGCAGCCCAATTCCTAACCACTACGCTACCAAAGCTATGATTATTGGTTAACCACCTTTGCACGTGGGGGACAGGTGCAGAGAGCTAAGGTAATGAGGTAACAGTTCATTAGGAATGGGCCTGGGATCCAGAGTCGCTGTTCCTCACAGCCACGCTTCAGAAAGGCAGCTGTCCTCTCTAAGGAAGGAAGGAGTCACATTCTTCCTCCCTTTGAGGAAGATCATAGCCGCTCCACCTTCTACAAAGGCTTCTTGTTGTAAAGTGCTGTGGAGTCGATTCCGACTCATAGAGACCCAGTATAGGGCTTCTGAGGAGCAGATGGTGGGTTTGAACTGCCGACCTTGTGATTCGCAGTCCAGTGCTGACCCTACAGCGCCACACCAGATGAGAGCTAAAGGTTCTGAAGTAGCGTTCACCCTGAGCATACTGCTCCACCTGGCCACTGGACGCAGGACAGACGCCCTCTAGTGGCCAAAATAATCCCAGCAGTCAAAGGTTCTGTTAGGTCACTGTGTGCTAGACACTGAGGGCACTCAGTGAACCTGGAGGAGACTGAGGTGCTGGCCAAGGCCCACCTAACTATTAAGGGGCACAGCATGGACTTGAATCCCAGCAGTTCACGCTAGAATCCACACTCCTTCCCTGACATGTGCCGGCTGTGCTGTGGATCTGTGGGACACGGATGTGGATAGGTTTCTTCCTCCAGGTCCTGGGTGGCTTTGGCAGGAGTAGGGCGGGGCTCTACTGCACGACTTGGACTCCTGGTCCTGTCCACCAAGTGCCAGTTGTTGTTGTCGTTAAGTGCCATTGAACCGATTCCAACCCATAGCGATACTGTATAGGGTTCCCGAGGAGCAGCTGAGGAGCTTGAACCGCCGACCTTGCAGTTCAAATGGCTTTTCAGTCTAGCGCATTAACCCACAGCGCCACACCAAGCACCCCCAATTCCCAGGATCCAGGATGCACTCACACGTATCCATCGCCCACGAGGGGCAGGGCTCTATTCATCTGAGACTCTCAGGCATGGTAAGCCAGCCCTCTCTCAAGTGGATGTATTTATCAGTTAAGTTTCTTCCCCACTGCCCAATCAAAGGCTTCCCCACACCCAGTAAGGCCCTCAAAAGGCTGCTCCCAGTGACTGAGGGCTCCCCCCAGCCTCAACTGCCTTCTGCTAGGCTCCGGAGGGCTGGGTTAGGGTACTCGGGGTTCTCGATGACCCCGGGGCCAAACTTGAGCTCCAGGAAGCGGCGGTAGTTGTTGGGTGCCTGGGCCACGAAGCCAGCAAAGGGCAGGCGCACAAGGGGCTGCAGAAAGTGTTCGGGGAACTCGACGTCCTGCCTGTGATCCAGCCACGTGTCCTTGGTCATGACCCCGTTGCGTGGGTAGAAGGGCCACAGGTCTACGTGTAGGTGGTTGCTCTCGCTATACTGCACACGGAAGAAGTCGCCTTCCACCGCTTTCTCCCACACGAAGCCCTTCTCGTCCACCACGGAGCCTGCTTCGGCCCCGCGCAGCTGCTCGCAGTTGCCCACGTCCTCCAGGTAGATGCCCAGATCAACATCATAGTCCCAGGGGATGATGTCGCCGTGACGGGCAGCGCCCAGCAGCGAACCACCTTCCAGCCAGTAGCGCACACCAGCTGCCTCCAGGACGCCCACCACGTAGTGGGCGGTCTCCCGCAGTGCTCGCAGGCAGCACGGGGGCGTCCAGCGGTCCTCATACAGGTAGGCCGGCGTGTCACCCACCACCGTCCCAAAGCACCTCGTACTCTCCTTGCTGCAGCCGAACCACTCGGCTCGCCCACCCTCCCAGGTCACTAGGCGAATGCCCAGTGTCCGCAGCAGTGTCGTGCGTCGCGCACGCCCTTCACGCTCTGCTTTCCAGCGTGCATGCGCCGTGCTGAGCGGGGGCTGATGTGCAACAGCAAAGGGGCGCTGCTCCAGCAACCACACCTGCCAGCCGCGGAGTGCAGTCTGCAGGTAGAGGCTGGTGGCCAGCGGCCGTGCCAGGGGCGCTGAAAGGTTGAAGAGGTCACGAGTGCGTAGCAGCACCACAGCGTCCCCGTCCAGGGCGTCGCAGCGAGGTGGAGAAGGGGCCGGGCCATAGCGGGCTGTCCACTCCCTCAGGCTGACGTTCAGAGCCAGGCACCGCGTGGGGTTGGCAGTGGCGACCGGAGAGGCCACCAGGCGAGCACCTCCTGCCCGGAGCGCCTCTACCATTCGCTCCAGCTGGCCAGGTACCTCGGCCCTCGTTCCATCAGGCACCAGGGCCACAAACTCTGTGGTCACGTAGGTCTCTGGGCGCGAGGCCGCGGCAGGCCGGTCCAGGGCGGGCTGGAGCAATGCCAAGCGGACGTTGGGTAGGCGGGGCAGGGACAGTGGTGGGTAGGGAAGTGTGTCGGCTGCCACCACCACGGGCTGGGCTGGATCCTGCTGAAGGAAGGAGTCCACCAGCTCAGGGACAGCGTTGTCAAAGGCCTCGAATTCTCGCACCAGGATGGTGACTTGGGGGCTGGCAGCTGACCCACGGTGGCCACCACGCGCCCGGGAGTTCCTTGGCTGGTGCAGCCACGAGACATAGAAAAAGACCAGGAGGTTGAGGATGATGGCAGCTGCCAAAGCAGCCTGGCAGCGGGTGAGTCGCATGGGGCTGGCCTCAGGCCCTAGCTGGGCCTTCCAGCATCCTGGAGAGAGGAGGGGAAAGAGAAGCGGGGGATAGGGCTGAAGCTGTTTGTCAGACTCCCTCTCACCCAAGCCTTACCTTCTCTCCCACCCCTTCCGCCTATTTGGTTTCAGCTATGACATCACTTCCTCCTGGGCCTTCTAGGGGGCGTTGTGGGCCCCCTCTGGAGTCCTTCTACCCCAGGCCCTCCCACTCTGGCTACAGATACTTATGGGTCTGTCAAGGCATCACGTGATCCATGAACCCAGACCCTGGGTCTGTCTTCAATCCAAGCCAGGTACACATTAAACTGAATGCATTGACTCAACCCCAAGTCAAGAGACACTACAAGACAGAGGAGAACTGTTTCCAAGGCTGTCAGTCTTTACCAGAGCAGACAGACTTAACAGTTTTCCTGAAGAACAACTGATGGGTTGGAACTGCTAAGCTTGCCATTAGTAGCTCAAAGCTTACCAGGGCTCCCAGAAGACACGGTGTTGTTGTTAAGTGCTGTAGAGTCAGTTTCCACTCAGAGCAAACCTGTATAGGGTTTCTGAGACTTTAAATCTTTTGTGGGACCAGAAAGCCTCACTTTTCTCCCTCCGAGTGGTTGGTGGGCTCAAACCACTGACCTTAAGGTTCACAGTCCAATGACTCTATGGAACCACTGTGCTCCCAGAGGTACACATTGTTGTTGTTATGTGCCGTGGAGTCGGTTCCAACCCATGGCGACCCTGTACAGGGTTTCCAAGGCTGTAAACCTTTATGGGAGCAGAAAGCATCATCTTTCTTCTGCGGAGCAACTGGTAGATTCCACCGGCTGACCTTAAGGTTCGCAGCCTGATTTGTACCCACTACGCTACCAGAGCTCCTTAGGTACTCAATACAACTGTTTTCAAATGATCCGCTTTCCCTTCTTGCTTGTTCAATTCCACTTTTCTCTCTGAGCCATCTCCTTGAGACACACTTCTCTTTATCTTTAGGTAAAGATAATCTGCACTGGTTTTGCATCTCTAGGGAACCCAGCCTAAGACAGAAGTGCTGTGGCCACTGGACTGCTAACCACAAGGTTGGCAGTTCGAGCTCACAGGCCAATCTATGGAAGAAAGATGAAGCCCCCTCCCCATCTTCCTTTCCTTGAACACCATGGCCACCTCCAGGACGAAGCTAAAACTGCACCCTTGAGCTGTAGCCACCAAACCCTTCGCCCATCAAAGGTCCCCATAGCCTGAACTATCCATCCGGTCATCTCCTTCATGACGGTCAGGCTTTTGGTTTTGCAAGAAAAGTCAGAAAAAAATCATTCTTTACAAATCAGCTCTCTCCCGATTTTAATTTTTGTCAACTAATTAAAATAAATAAACAAAAATCAAAACTGCGGTGTGAGCAACATCAAGAGGCTGTCAGGGGAAGCACATTTTCCTCCCCATTCATCAGGCAGACTGCCAGATGACCCCCAGATGGCACTGTCTCTCTGTCCCCACCTGGAATGGCATATTTGGCTGGTTTTCCAGGCAGGGCCATAACTCTGGGTTCTGTGTAGGTCCTCAGTTTCCACATGAAGGATTGTTATGATAGTGCAGTGGGTAAGCACTCAGCTGCTAGCTGAAAAGGTCGGCACTTAGAACTCACCAGCTGCTCTGAGGGAGAAAGTGAGGCAGTTGGCTTCTGTAAAGATTCATTGTTTCGGAAACCTTATGGGGCAGTTCTGCATTGCTGTATGCTATGGGTCCGAATAGCAGAGAACCAGCCAATCACCACATCTTTCTGCTTCTAAATCTCTCTGACTCCTCCTCCCTACCACCACAGCTCCCTCCTCACTCACTCTAGCGTCCCTCCAATCCCCACCTAGCCTCCTCCTGGTCTCCTGCCCCAGTCCTGTCTCAGCATAGTTCCCTTTCCTCATGGCACCAAGAGGGGTCTTCCTAAAGCACAAATCTGACCTATTCCTAGCCTACTGGGAACCTGCCATAGCTCCTAGTACTGTGAGGAGGAGGATCATAACATCCCGCAAAGCTGTGTGACCTGGCCCTTGCCCACCCACCGTTCCTGCTTCATCACCTGCTGTGGCCCCTCAAACTCTATGCCTTAGCCAGCCTCACCTTTTTTCCCTCTCTAATGTGTCAAAAATCCTCACCACTGGACCAATAAACAACATTCTTATCAACGGAGAAAAGGTTGAAGTTGTCAAGGACTTCATTCTTCTTGGATCAACTGTCAACACTCATGGAAGTGGCAGTCAAGAGATCAAATGACGTATTGCATTGGGCAAATCTGCTGCATAAGACCTTTTTAAAGTGTTGAAGAGCAGAGATGTCAGCTTGAGGACTAAGGTGCGTCTGACCCAAGCCATGGTATTTTCAGTAACGTCATATGCATGCGAAAGCTGGACAGTGAATAAGGAAGACTGTAGAAGAAATGATGCCTTTGAGTTATGGTGTTGGAGGAGAATATTGAAAGTGCCATGGATTGCCAAAAGAACCAATAGATGCGTTTTGGAAGAAGTGCAACCAGAGTGCTCCTTGGAGGCCAAGATGGCCAAACTTCATCTCTCATACTTTGGATATATTGTCAGGAGGGAGCAGTCGCTGGAGAGGAATATCATATTTGGTAAGGTGGAGGCTCAGAGGAAAAGAGGAAGACCCCCAACGAGATGGATTGGACAAGTGACAGCATCGATGGACTCAAGCATGGCAACAGTAGTGAGGCTGGCCCGGGATCAGGCAGTGTTTCGTTCTGCTGTGCATAAGGTCACTATGGGTCGGTTCCGACTCGATGGCACCTAACAACAACAATGTGTCTTGTGTCTGTTGTTATTGTTGTTAGGTGCCGTGGAGCCAGTCAGTTCTAACTCATAGCAAGCCTGCATAGGATTTCCAAGGTTGTAAATATTTACAGAGGCAGAAACCCTCATCTTTCTCCTAGAGAGTGGCTGGTGGGTTTGAACTGCCTATCTTGTGGTCAGCAGCTCAGTGCTAATCCTACAGCACCACCAGGGCTCCTGTCTTGTGTCTAGGCCTTTGCATATTCTGGTCCCTCTGGGAGAATCTCCCTTCCTACTCCCTTTTTCCCTACACCTCATCCTATGGAGAGTTACTGTAACTTCTCCAGGGCAGTTACTGTCTCAGGGTGGGTCTGTTCCCCTGATGGACTGTAAGACCTGGAAAGGCAGGGGCAGGGCTGTCCCAATCACCTTTGTGTCCCCAGAATACAGGCTGGGCACTGAAAACGCACTTAGTGAAAAACTGAAGGTCAAGGTCAGAGTTTCTGTGTGCTTCTAAAGCCACAGCAGGCTTTGTCCTTGGGGCCCATTCTGCCCTGTGCCTGGTCCCTGTCCCTGTCTCCCGGCCTCCCCTCTTTCTCTCTCCCACCCCTCCACTCATCCCAGTCCTGCTTGCTCACACATTAAGAACGAGAATTGTACTTTAAAAGCAGCTTTCTAATCTCTAAACAAACAAGCAAACAAGGACAAAAAGCCAGGTGCCATCAAGTTGATTCCAACTCATGGTGACCACGTGTGTGTCAGAGTAGAACTGCGTTTCACAGAGGATTCAATGGTTGTGATCTTCTGGAAAGAGATCACCAGGCATGTCTTCTGAGGTGCCTGTGGCTGGATTCGAACTGTCAACCTTTATGGTCAGTAGCCAAGTACTTAACCAGTTGATTCACATGGGGATACTGACAGAAGTCCTTCATGCTCAATATATGGATTCGCTGAAATCTCACAACATGCCAGGTCCAGTTCTAGGCACTGGGGAGAGTTCGGGGTTGATTTGTGTCCCCCCCAAAATATATATTGTAAATCCTTTGTGGTGCTGTAGGATAAGCACCGGACTGCTAATCTCAAGGCTGGTAGTTTAAACCCACCTACACAGGGTTGCTCTGAGATGACACTTAATGGCATACCTAGTGAACAGTAACTAAAGCACTTGGCTGCTCACTAAAAGGTCAGCTGTTCAGATCCACCAGCTGGGTTGAGGGAGTTTCAGATCACTCTGCTTCCAAAAAGATGACCGCCTTAGAAACCCTCCAAGGCAGGTCTCGTCTTTCCTATAGGGTCACGCGGGGACAGCGACTGTTCATTTGGTTTAAGACGCTGCAGTGACAGGAATGACCAGGTCAGCACCAGAGTTTGCTCTCACTGGCCTTATAGTTGAAAGAGTCCTGGTGGTGCAGGTGTTAAGCGCTCGGTGAAAGATTGGCAGTTCGAACCCACCAGCTGCTTCAAGGGAGAATGAGCTGGTAATCTGCATCCGTAGAGATGTATATATATAACCTTAGAAACCCTATGGGGCAATTGGACTCTGTCTTCTAGGGTAGGAAATCCACCTGGTGGTAGTGAGGTTTGTTTTTAAGTAATACCTGGGGTTAGAAGCTCTGATTGTGCAGTGGTTAAAGCATCACCAGGTGCTCTGTGAGAGAAAGATGTGGCAGCCTGCTCCCATTGGGGTTTACAGCCTTAGAAACCCTATGGGGCAGTTTGACTCTGTCCTTTAGGGTGGATTTTCGGTTTTATAGTGTGGGAGTCCTGGGGTGGCGCTGTAAGATCAGCACTGGACTGCTACCACAAGGTTGGTTGGAAACCCCACACAGGGTCGCTCTGAGTCAGAACTGACTGGCCTGATTTAACAACAACATAAGCCCATTTGGGAATGAGTTTTCTTCGTCGTGTGAAGGAGGCAGTATTAGCGTGTCTTGAGTCAGTCTCTTCTGAGCTATAAAGAAGAGGATGGAAGAAGAGATGCCATGCCACAGGGAGATTGCCAAGAAGCCCAGGAGTGCGGGGGCTATAGACGCTTAAGAGAGACAAGGGCCTTCCTTCAGAGCCAACAGACAGACAGAGAAAATGCCTTCCCCGAGAGATGGTGCTTTGAATCCGGACTTTTAGCCTCCGAAACTGCTGAGGTGCTGTAGGATAAGCATCTCAAGCCCACCAGCCACTCCTCAGAAACCCTGTACAGGTCTGATAGGAGTCAGAACTGAT